TTTTAGGTTAGACAACAAATGATCAAATTAGGGAATTAGGAACACAAGGTTATGACCAAACACCATGGCTTAATCATACTTTAGCTAGAATCAATCCGTTAATCTAATTGAACTTGGGAACTTATTTGCTTGAGTTATTTCCTTTTTTTTTCTTGTTTTATTTATTTTCTTTTTCATTTCTGTTTTGTGTAGGGAAAATGAATTGGATCATTCAATCACCAATCCTCGTGGGATCGACCTCGCACTTACATATGCTATACTACCGAACGGCTCGTGCACTTGCAAGTATCACAAGTTGAGGATGCAGCTGAATCCATTTTGGTGCAGCTAAATCGAAGCAACATTATCTCCAATTATTACTATATTGTTAATTTAAAAAAAATCAATAATATCAAACATATGATTGTTGATACAAATATAAATTTAAAAACTCTCAACAAAAATTATTACTTAATGGTCGATTGATTGAGCTACATTGAATTGACGAAAAAGAAAATTGTACTTTTTCAATTATGATCAATGCCCAATTGATAATCATATAAACATGAATGTTTAGGAAATGAAGTGGAAGTATGAGAAGTCTTCTTATATTCAATCTCATTGCATAGCCCTCATACGAATCATATTCCAAGGATTGTTGTGCTATTATGATTGTATACTAAATATCATAGTTGAAAACAACGATTTTGCCCATAAATGATGGTGAAATATCCAGAAAAGAAAGCAACATCACATGTTTGGCTTTATGGCATATATTTAACATCCTTTCATATTATTTTATTTTACATAATTCAATTATTTTTAACTTATGAAATGACCAATTTGTCCTCATATTTAATGACATATTGGACGAAATGTTAGGGAATTAAACAGCAGGGGAGACATTGGCGATAAAGACAAATTCATATTCTTAATTTTATAAACAAAAAAAAGGTTATGAGATAAATTTTAAAGTTGGGTAAAAGTTCAAGCACTAAATCAACAATTTAGCCATGTTTAATGGTTTTTGTGGGCATATATATGACATATTTGATAGCACATGTGTGCAATTCTTAGTTTACAATATGCATATGTATATACCTGTATGCAATTTCGTAGCTTCTATGTGCAATTCTCATTTTACAATATGCAATTGCATATATTTGTATACAATTTCGTAACGTCTGTTTGCAATTTTTAGTTTACAATATGCAATTGCAGTCCGTCTTTCTTTTGGTTTTTAACTTTTTTCGTTTTTACTAGAAGGCTCATTGGCTCACACTCTTATAATGTATGCAAAGATCACCAAATTTTCTCTTTATGGTTAGAGGGCCTCTTTTTTGTGTGTGTTCATTTGCATGACTATATGGATAATCTACTACTACCTAAAAGCTATATAAAATTAAATGTGATATCTTCTATTTTCTCTAACCAAGACTACATGTCACATAAATAAGAAATAAGATCTCAAAAAAGAAACAGAAACAAAGAAAACACTTCACCTAAAAAATTTTGTAATACGTTTAACTCAATTTATAACTTGTAGAGTACACAAATGTTAGCCCCTAAATATTAGACTCTCAGAAGAAGGTGAGAATCTCACCAAGTATGCATGAAAAGTCCAAGTGAGCATACACCTTCCTACAAATGAGAGGGAGGTAGAGAGAGATTATTTAAACACTTTGATGGTATCTTAAAACACATATTTCAGTGTAACAAAAATGCACTTTTCTTAACTGCACTTTTCCTGAATCCTTAGCCATAGCAACCAATATATAGCAGTTACGGCAATCACAGCAACCAATACCAATCATGAACATCTCATTTGAACCATACACTTACAGATTTGCCAATAAAATCTTTGAAATGGTAATGGCAACCCAAGACACTGAGCTCCATCGTGAGGTCACTGATCTCCATCCCGGATATACAAACATCAACCATTATGTGAAAATATGAGAGGTCTTCTTATATCCAATCTCATTAAATAGCCCCCATACTAATCATATTTCAAAGACTTGTTATTTTACTGTTATAATTATAGACTACATATTATAGTTGAAAACAACGATTTTGCCCATAAATGACGGTGAAATATCTAGAAATTAACATCACATGTTTGGCTTTATGGCATATATTTAACATTCTTTCATATTATTTTATTATAAGTATTTAATTATTTTTAACTTATGAAATAACCAATTTGCCCTCATATTTAACGGCAAATTCTGAAGAAGTGGTTGTTTCCAAAGCGAATAGTTCAAATATCATTGATCAAACACAAATATTATAACAAATTCTGAAGAAGAACCCAAAAACTTCTAATTAAATTATTTCATAAAGAAAAGGAGACCTTCCAACTTAATTATTATTATTTTTTCAAAAACGAAGTAACATAGAATTATTGGCAGTAGATTTCCACTTATCAATATCATTATCCCTGACATCTTTCATGTGAATTCAGAACAACTAATCTTCGGTTCAATGATGTTCCTTTCTCAGCATTATTCATGCTCCGCTCAGTAGCCAATCCATTATACTAACATCATGGTAAAAGTAGTCTATATGAAAAATTTCTTAACTGAGTTACAACCTCAACCTCTAAGGATTCCATTACCATAGTTATTAATGAATATGTAACTACTTTTCTCATCAGTCGGTTACACCAAAAAAAGGTTTTACAGAGGAACTGTTTTTCTTTTTTCAATTTTCTTGACATGTCTTTTGTTGCAATAGTAGAGTTATTGCATCCTTCAATCCTTCCAATTAACACCAAACAACTCAGGCAATATGCACTCAATACATTGTTCAAGCTGTAGCCTAAGCCACTAGAGCTGAGACACTGTTGAATTCGAGCTATTATACAAAAATGAGATAATGACAGAGCATAATACCCTGTTGATCATTTGGAGAGCCTTGTTCGACTGCTGGTTCATGCAACTTTGTCGGGTCTCCTCCACTTGCAACTCTTTCTCTCAATTTTCTAAGTGACATGTAATCAAAATTTTGCACACAAAGAATAAAAGATTAAAGCAGAGTCCAAAATCCAAAGGATTTAAAAATAAAAAATAAAAGATATAGAGAGATCAGTACTTTTACTTGTCTAGTGGCGGCAACCTGTTTGACCTCATCTCATGAACAAACTGATCAAAAGAATAATATGGGAGCAAACGTGAGTGCCATTCGGTGTACAACCCAATTAAGTTCCCCAAATCTCTAACCTCCAAAAACTGCAAAAAACAATTTAGCATAATATGATCAATTTTTTTCCACAAAAGAAAGGAAACAAGAGTGGAATTGAATATGAGACCTCGTTTCCGAGGCCACGGTACTTGAAAGCGCGAGTGAAGTGGCGGAGGACGTAGGCGAGGTCAGCTTCGGCCTAGTCTTCTGAACTGACACCTTTTTTGCCTTCGAAGCACCGCTGTCTCTCTATCTCCTCTCCGATGGCTGTTGCATTTTGGCTTGGGCAAAGATGAGACGCCCAAATTCCGATCTGGGGACACAGATGAAGCTTGGATTTCCGAGGGAGAGATCGCAGAGATGAGATGAAGCAGCTCCAGTGCATGCGAGGGGTTATTCTATGTTTTCTAAGTCACGTGTATTTCACGTGCTGCTTAATAAAAATGGCTAAACAAGTCATCAGGTCATTCAATCTCAGCCCTTAATTTTTAAAATGAAATATGAGCCCTTGGATGATCGGCTGTACCGGTACAGCCGATGCACCACAGAATTTTCGTGAAAAAAAAGCTCATCTAGAAAAAAGACGAGAAGTTGCCTTGAAGGTTCCTTACCCTTCACTTCAACACGTTGTAGGTACCATCGCATTACAAAGAAACTGCTTCGGCTGACTAGTCTATAACCAAATACCACTTTGTAGTTGCACTTGCAGCGAAAAGACCATCATTTCAAAGAAAGCGCGTGGTGACAAAAGAAATATCCCCGTTTGAGTTTGACCACTTTGTAGTTGCACTTGCACCGAAAGTTCTTCATACAATGAAATGAAACAGTAAGTTGCAACTATATATGCTTCAGTAAATTAAAGACCACGTCAGTAAATTAAAGAAAATTCAGCGTTTGATGAATTCAAGTTGAAAAGAAAGTTCCTCACGCCCGCGTTCCTCACGCCCGAGTTTGTTTAAGCCTTAAGCTATTTGTATCGTTTTATTAAGAAAGAAAATCAATACAAAATCAGATAAGATTCTCTCTGCTTCTTCTTCAATTCTTCAATGTTCAAATTGAAATCGTTATTCAGGTCTATGGATGGATGGTTTACTCCCCAATTCCCAATTGATTTTGAGAGATATCCTCAACATCCTTTAGATCAGCCCCTCCCTGAGACAACTCAACCAGTCTCTTCTTTTTCATATCAAGTGTTTTTGAGTTTTAGAGGTGAGGATACACGCACCAATTTTACAGATCATTTGTACAAGGCTTTGTCTGATAAAAAGATCCACACCTTCATTGATCGAGAGCTTGTAAAAGGAGAAGAAATATCGTCAGCTCTTGTCAAAGCAATTGAAGAATCAAGAATTTCTCTCATTGTATTCTCTGAAAACTATGCATCTTCGAGGTGGTGCTTGGATGAACTTGTCAAGATCCTTCAATGTAAACAATCAAACCAACAAATAGTTTTGCCCATTTTTTACAAGGTAAATCCCTCAGATGTGCGAAAACAAACAAGTAAATTTGGTGGCGCATTTGAAGGCCATATTGAAAGCAAATTCAAAGATAACGAGGAGAAAGTGCTCAAATGGAGGAGAGCTCTTACGGAAGCAGCAAATTTGTCTGGATGGCATTTCAAGGAGGGAGAGTATGTTTCTATCTTTATCATTTTCAAGTTTAATTTTTTTCTCTCTTCTTTCTCATTACTATTTGTTACACATTTAATTGTTACTCATTATTAAAGAAAAGTGTCCTTTTGTAAAAATATTACATAGTAGGGAGAAGATCTTTATTTTAATTTTTGTGTGTTTTTGTATTTTTGATAGTTGTAGGGCATTATGTTTAATTTAGTGTCTTTCAGGATTATCTATCTTTTTCAAGTTAACTTAATTTCTTTTTCTTTTTTTCTTTGGTTACATTTAATTGTTACTCATTAAAGAAAAATATTCTTTTGTAAAAATATACAACTGTAGGGAGAAGATCTATTTTCTTGGGTACTTTAGTGGTTGGATGTTTAAATTTGATTCATTAAATGTGTCTAATTTAAACTGGCAGTTATGAAGTTAGATTTATCGACGACATTGTCGAAGGAATTTTAAGCCAAGTACAACGAGTACGAGATGTGGCCACATACTGCAATGTGGCCAACCACCCAGTTGGAATCGACTCTGATTTACAAGATGTGAAAAAGCTTTTAGCTAGTGGCAAGAAAAGTGGCGTTTACAAGATTCGAAAGCCGACCGGGGTCTCATACATTAAACTGCACGTGGAGCCCAAAGCCGACCTTTGCCCACAAGTTCAGTAGAAAATCTCGCGTTTTCATAGTTTCTTAATGTTTATATTGCATTCTTTGTCTTTATATTGCATTCTTAATGTTTGCATTAACCAAAGGCATTTTCTGGTATTTTGAATGTTTTACTATTCTCTGTCAACTTTCATTCATATAGAAACAATAAACATCAATATAACCAAAGCTCCTAACTTCTCTAGGGGCTACAAAGTCGCTTCATTAAAACCTTGTCATAAAAACTCTCAATAGAGAAAATCCGATCAAGAAAAAAGAGTACCACAGCACCGCAATATATAATAAAACTAACCCTATTGTCTATCTTTTCCTAGTAAAGGTTGAATCCATATCGGACCCACCCCTTCCTAGAAAAGTTGATTACCTTTCCTCAGTCCAAATAAAGCCATAGCATGAGCCACACTGTTACCTTCACGAGGTTGATAAACCACCTTTGTATTACCCAACTGTGAGACCCTGGAAATTTTATGGTGATTAGAAACTATTTGTAAAATTTTGAAGAAAATATTTTTGGATGTGATTAAAGAAAAGTACCATGTGTTTATGAGTGTTTATGAGTTCGTAGTATTTTTCGGAGATTTTTTTGGAGCTCGAATGAATTTTTTTGGAGAAAAGTACCATGTGTTTATGAATTTTAAAGAAAACTGCTTCGGCTGACTAGTCTATAACTAAATACTATAGAGATAGAGTCGTCAACATTGCCATTAGACTAGTCGTCAACACGCCTTCACATTGAAGGTGGTAGGAAACTGATTCGTCACACCTCATAAATCTAACCACAGCTCCACTACCAGAAAGATGAGAAGTTTCCCTAAAGGTTCCTTACCCTTCACTCCAATACGTTGTAGGTACCGTCGCATTACAAAGAAACTGCTTCGGCTGACTAGTCTATAACTAAATACCATAGAGATAGAGTCGTCAACATTGCCATTAGACCAGTCGTCAACACGCCTTCACATTGAAGGTGGTAGGAAACTGATTCGTCAAGCCTCATAAATCTAACCACAGCACCACTACCAAAAAGATGAGAAGTTGCCTAGAAGGTTCCTTACCCTTCACTTAGAAGACTTTCGTCACAGTAATTAGGCACTACTTAAAGACATTGATATGCCTTTGCTTTGAATGTGTTTCTTGTTATAGGATATATTGTAGCAAAGGCACTAAAAATACCATTCAAATCAATGGGAAAAAGGGATAGGGAGACATAGAAGACCCCATTGAGATTACAATATCTATATAGAAAATTTCAACCTCACAAATCTTGATAATATTAATATATATGGTGAGGGCTGGTAAACAAAAGAAAGAGTTCCAACTAGTCTATGACAATATAAATATACATTTTCTCAAGTTTTCACAAACTCTGTCACCCCAAGTCCAATAGGGCTGCTGCTTGTCAATTACAGTTGGGCGGAGAAGTTGCACATCAACCTGCAATTTACACATACAATATACATATAAGTAAACTTATTATATTTTCATATGCATAATATTATTATTAAAAACATAACTAACCTCACGGTTCTCGAATACTTGGCTCATTAGCTTATGAATATGAGCCGAAGTATTGCTCCTCCAATGTAGTATACGAGGGATGTAGGCATTCTCTTCGTGCACGACAAAATGCAGTGCAGCCAATGCTGGAAAGACCTCATAAGCCCAAATTTAGTTTGAAGAATAAAACGTCACTCACTGTAAACGAATGAAATTGAACTTAAACATGAATGGAAATTTGCTCACCTAAAGTGCAAAGGCAAATCCTTTGATGTAGTACTCTCTTGGTCTACCAGTTGCCGTTGTCTTTGCTTTCTTTTCAGATTTTTTTATTTTTATTTTTGCATCTTTTTTGGGCACTTTTACTCGCTGGTTATCTGCACAAAGTGCCCTCAAAAGTGAGGCATTTGTCTTGGCATAAGACACAACACCCCATGGATACTTCACAAACTATTCAAGGTCTTCCGCCAATTTCAAATACCACATGTCAATATGGACATGTTTTTCACTACCCAACAACACAAAAACAGCAAAGTATACAATTCCAAGCTTGAATACATCGTCCTCATCAGCGTAGTCGAGGAAGGCTTTTTCTAATTCCAAAAGGCTGACAGTTTTATCATTGTAAAAGTACTTCCTTTTCAATGAGTAGTTCTCATAAGTTGCAATCGGAATGAAAGGAAGGTTTCCAAACCTTAGCCCTGTGATGACGCAAAATTGTTGCGCCGTGAATTGGATCACCTTATTGGCAACGATGAATTTATCCCGTTCACGTGGGAAACTGTCTTCGGATCAGCCTTCCTCAGCAACAAGCCATGGACAATTGGCGAAGTCCAATTAAGGTCCTCAATCAGTAAGAGATGAACAAAACAACTCTCTTCAAACCTTCGTAGCTGTTGCGGACTGAATTTCTCCTTTATGGTACTAATTGACGTCTTTGTATGGGAAAGGGACAACGTCTTTCCCTGAAACTTTTCTTCCTCAGCAATCATCAACTTAATTGGAGAAACCATATTTCCTTGCACGCCAATATTATACAAATAATTTCACGTTGTTGAAATCTACACAATAACAAGCAATAAACACGCAATACACAGGTATATCAAGGTGTTGAGAGCCAAAAAATCCAAGGTTAGGCCCAAATATATTCTTGGCCCAATGCGATACCTTACTAAGAAGAAACCCAATTTGCACACGCAAAAGTCTGTCATGCACGCTCGCACGAGTCACAATCCACATGCCATGCTAAATAAACATACAATCCGTCATGCTAAGAATCGTAATGAGTCTATAAAATGCACTGACTTTACGAGCCCATGCTAATTATCCCATCAAGCATCATAGCCTTTGAGCACGAGCACGCCAATCAACATGCCATGCCAAGCGAAAAACCATTATTTGGCACCTAGCCACGCTACAAGCTTAAGTGGGCCCAAGCCACGCAAATTCCCGGGGCTTGCTGAGTGGGTTGTGGCATGGATAGTAACAAGTTTTCAAGAGGCCCATTGATGAGCCGATGAATGGAAGTTTTGGGTTGCTTGGGGGCCCCAAAACTCAAGCCCATTTCTTGAGCCCAAATATATGGGTAAGCATAAAAGAGAGAGCCCAATACCCTAAAAAATTAGCCCATCACCTTAATAAAATAGCCCACCATCTTAGGAAGTTAGCCCATTCCCTTAATGGGCTAACCTACTACCTTAGGAGGGCCCAAGCAACCAAAGAGAAGATCTATAGTCTCCAGCACTTAGTTAGGAACAAAGACTACATTAGAAGCCAAAATATCTATGTCTGTAGGCTGCTGGGAGGCTCCAGCACGTGGGCAAGAAACAAGCCTCAAGGAACAACATTCAAAGAACCAATGGATATTAGCATGCGTAGGTTGCTAGGAGAAGAGGCACCCTCCGAACTAGCACTCTTACCTATTTATTTCTCCCACCAGGTCTGGCCATGGAAGAGGGAAGGAAAGAAGGTGAGGTGATAACCAAAAATGGGGGTTTCCCCACTGAAGCAGCTGCGGGAAAAGCCTTAGAGCTCCCAAAAACCTTGTCTTTGTGTGTTTGGACAGAAAAGGATTTCATAAAATAGGATGAATCAAAGGAAGAGAAGAGAAAGGAAAGGGGAGACTTAGCAAAATGGAAGAGAAACCATTAGGGTTTCTACGGAAGGAGGAGCTTCCAGCAGCTATAAAAGGGAGCTTCCTCTACCCAGCAAAAACAACCATCCAGAGGGCGACCAAGCTTTTGTCGATCAACTGGAAATTTACTCAAGACACCCCATTCTCTATCTCCATCTCTCCCTCTCTTCCTTAGTCAAAATCCCCCCAAATCTCTCTCTCCCCCTTGCTCTAAACCTTTGTTTCCACAGGAAATCCAAGCTCTTTCTCTCTCTGTCTCTCTAATGCTAAACTTATGAAGGCTCAGCTTTCATGCCACAAGCTCCTCAAGCCGAGCTATTCTATTGCTAATCTGTCACGTTAATTTGGTTCATTGGTGAAAGGAACCTAAGGTGTTTTCTAAAGTTTTCACAAACCCTTTCAAAACTCTCTTGGAGCCTGGTCTTCGAACTCGGACACAAGGGCAATCTCATCTGTTCGTCCTTTACAGCAGCCCAGGCCCATTTGTCAGGTTGCTGGAAGAAAAAGACCCCAATATAAATGGCGACTCTGCTGGGGACCAGGCTGTGATTCGATTGTCTGTCATATTGATAAGTTATGCGATGCAATCCTTGTTGGTGCAGTAAACCATCAAGAACACTAAAAGATAAGAAGCTTTTTGTTTTAGTGATGTGTTGGCTATTTATTATTGAGTCAATAATTGTTTCTAACATCTTTGATGTTGTTTTGCCTTCTTATGGAATATTTGTAATCAATTTGGTTTTGATATACCGCTGGAAGATCCTGTTGGATGAGATAAGGTCATTCAAGCTTTGACAAGAGTTAGACGCCAGAGGAGATCTCAACAGCACATAACCATTGCTTGTTTAAATTACAAGGGTGCTCCTCTTCCAAAGTTGCCTTTTACGTGATGCAAGCAAGGAAAGTCTTATTTCTTGGTTGGCAATGAATAATGGTTTCCAAGTGTTATTTGAATATGTAGCGCCAAGTTTGGAGCACAAGCAAAACCATTTCACAATAGGTTATGGGAAATCATGCATTCTCCAGCACTGGGGTGCCAGAGATGCCCCAAAAAAAAAAAAAAAAAAAAAAGCTCCGCAACAAGATGACTATGGGCTTCATGCCAAGAAAATTGAAAAAGAAAAACTACTTCTCTCTTTTTTAACTATTGTTCATCTCTCCGCCATGAAGCACCAATGACCCCCGAAGGCACAAGGAAATTCTCATTGACACCACCAACCACTGCTCATTGCCAAAAGTTCGACAGACTCAGTGTTGGCGGCTACGTAAATCTACCATTGCCTATGGTCAAATTGCCAAGCACCACCTAATGAAATCGCCACTACAAAAGAAACTGGGAGGTCAAGAAACTGCCATTGCCTATCCTACATTCTTCGCAACGCGTCCACGCTGTTGTGCAGATCATCATCTTAGCACACCCAATTCGATTAGAATCTACAAAAAAGATAAGAT